GCATGGGATGGGTTTTTTTTTGTTTTTTGACTTTTTTGAAACAGGGTAGAGTCTCACTATGCAGTTCAGGCTGGCCTTGAGCTCACTTTGTAGCCCAGGCTGGCCTCGAACTCCCATCAATCCTCCTGCCTCAGCCTCCCAAGTGCTGGGATTACAGGCGTGCACCACCACACCCAGCTAACCTTTCCTTCCTTAATGTTGGGCATCAGGTATTTTATCTCAGGAATGAGAGAAAAGTAACCAAGACAATGGGGAAACTGAGACTCATAGAAAGCTGTAGCTTGTCCTAGAATACCAACCTCAATAAACCAAAAGCTAGACCCAGACCCGAGGGTGGTGGAACACTAGTCTGTAGCCCTGCCAGTGTCAGGCTGATCACTGTATGATTTGACCCCTACTGGACACGTTCAGCAGGTCACAGTGTCTTTTTTTTTTTTTTTTTTAAAGAGTAAGAGAAGGATAACAATAATGGGGGGGGGTTTACCAAATTACAAACAAAGTGGTAGGAAATTATCAATGGTTATTGTTTTCCATATTGTTATCTACAAAATAGTTTCTCAGGAAAACAAATAGACAAAAGAGGTAGATTATCAATAGTTGTTGTACTCTACTTAGGTATCTTCGAAAGAAAATAAATATAACTATACATGAGTGACCTATTGAATAATCATTAACTATTCTCAATTTTTTTTTTTTTTGTACTAGGAATCGAACTCAGGACCTTGCACTTGCCAGGCAGGCATTTGTGCCACTGAGCTATGTTGCCAGCCAGGTCACAGTGTCTTAAGAAGTTGGCCAAATCAACTTTAAACTGGCTTAACAACTCTGTATCTCTGGGTTATCAGTTATGAGAGAAAGAGTTTTGAAGTACCACAAGCTGGCCTCTTTGTCCTTAGTATCACTGTGGGATGGCTTCTCCTGGATGCCTCACCTCCATCACTGCCGTGTGCCAGTTGTGCTGGGAATAGAGTGAAGCTTAAGGGAGGGGTGATGTCAGAGATCAAAACAGAAGTCATTCAAGACCAGAAAGGCACATTTATGCTGCTCATGAAGTTTTCTACCAGTCTGTTGGAGGAAAGGAGCTCTGAAGCACTCTCCTGAAGCATGCTTCTCTAATTTAATCTGTATTTACTTGAAAGAGATGTCTTGTCTCACTAAATTGTTGGCTTCCTGGGTATAAACACTAGATCTGATGCTTCTTTGCAGCCTCAGCATACTGTTGTATGATCAGTCAACATTTCTCTCTCCATTCTCCAAAACATCAGAACAGTTACTTTTACATTAAAATTCATCAATTATCTCCTTGCAATTGCATTGTCGATATAACCCAATCAGTTTGTGTCTGTTAGTCTTATATCTGATGAAACTAAGAATCATTATAGGCAGGATTTGCACTGGGTTTCTTCTTCCTCAACTTCTTCCTCAACTTCCCTATTTGTCTGTCCTATTCACACAGGTATAAACTCATTCACTCTTTAGAAGAGAGTTTAGATCCTGGGGTCTTTTCTGTCAAATGTAAAGAAACTAAAAATTTTAATTTTGTACCTCTAGTTCCACACATTGCTAGTTCTTTGCTCTTCTAGGCTCAAGACAGCCCGAAATGCCATTCCCACAGCTGAAGGGGGGAAATTTGGATTTCAAAGCTGTTCTTACTATGCCAAAGAAGGAATACTCATCAACTCTCTTGCAAAAAAATGGTAATTTCCAGAAGAATCGCCTTTCCCCCTTCCTTCCCTTCACGTGTCCCTTTCAGGAGTCCAGAACTGGGACCACTAGGACATTCTGACTACCTACAAAGGGGTCATATATCTGTAGTAGCGACAAAGGGCCCTATTTGTGCAAGTCTACAGCTCCTGAAAGATCTTTGTTTTGTGTATACCGTCACAGTCCCTCCTCTGATCAAAAGGCAAAAATGCTCTCCCCAACTAAGACAAAATGAACAAGTAAGAAAATGGATTTTATTCAGCTTATTACAATAGGGTGGGAGCCCAGATATGGCCAGTGTCTTGGCAAGATGTTTGGCCTTAGACATTTTTAGGGGAGGAAGGTGGGATGATTCGCAATTGGCATTATTTTGCAATCAGAAGTTTCAGTCAGGTGAACAGAAAATGTTTAGCTCTGAATGGAGCTAGTTTCAGAATGGCAAAAAATTCAAATCTCATTAAATTATTCTTGAGATTATAAACGGGAATTTGTAAGGTGTGTGACTGGCCTTATCAACAGACTCAGACAAAAGGAGGGGAAAAGGGTCTTTGACTGGTTTTGTCACAGATTAAATGGGGGGGGGGTGTTTTATTTTAGGCATAAGCAGAGGGATATTTCTTTACAGTGAGCCAATCCAGGAACACAAACAGGCGAGGTTTCCTAATCCTGTTTTCGGGAGCATAGGACTCTCTAGGGTAAAGTGCAAAGTTAATCTCCTCAAGGTTTCACCAGGGGCCATTTCTGGAGGCAAAGATCTGCACTTCTTATTGTTGACCAAATGGGTTCTTACTTTGGAAATTAAGTAATTATTTTACAAAGAAGGTAAGTAAAATGCCATGTCAGGAGGTGCTTTTGAGCATTCCAATTAGTAATGCGTCGTAGTGCCGCAGGCTCTAAACAAGTCCCGTAGCCTGACGCGCCACTTCGACGAACCTGGGGCGGGAATCAAGCTCCTCACTGCAGGACCGGAACGGTAGTTTATGTGGCTGAACGATTGTAAGGTATGCTTTTGGAGGGTCTTCATTCTTAGGAACAGTATCTCAATTGCGCTTCAAAGAAAGCGCAGACGCAGAAGTAAGCAGATAACATTCTTTCACGGAAAACACACCTGGATCAGCGAAAGGAAGGTACTTAACCGAAAGCGGAACTGCCGCTACGTTTTGCCAGTAGTCCCCATTTCGGCCATGCCTCGCCTCCTTACCGTCGCGTCTTCTCATTGGTCGTTTTGACGCACGCCAGCGCCTGCGCACTGCATCCCTTTGAGGGTCGTGGATAGACGCCATTTTGGCCCCAGCGGTGCTTCTGGGAAGTGGATTCTTGACCCGCCCGGCTGCTGCCCTTTCCGTGCGGCCCTTTCTGAGCGGGCTTTCCGGTTGAAACCTTCGATCTTGCAGCCGCCGTTTTTTATTCTCCGTTTTCTCCGCAGTCTCCGTTTAGGCAGGAGCCTCGGAGCACTGAGCCGCGCCATCGGAGGTCACACCACCAAGAAGGAGGTGACGGGGGCGGCGCGGGGTGCGGACACTCCCCGCGGAGAGCCCGCCTGCCATGGACTCCGAGTACTACAGTGGCGACCAGTCAGGTGGGTTAGGGGCGGGGGACGGCGCCCGGGTCCCTCCTCGGACGCGTCCCGAAGGGGACTGCGGGCGGAGCGGGACGCGCCTGGCGATCAGTTAGCTGCGGTGTCCGACGTAGAACCGTGGAGAGGGGAGCGAGAGGGAAAGCGGTCATCTGAACCGGCGAAGGTTTTGCTGAAATAGGGGAGCCACGTCCCTGTGTGTCGAGTGCTGGGGAAGGTGATGTGTTTCTTGTTGAGGGATTTTTCTTTTCTCGGAGTTGAGTTTATGGAGAATCCAAAGAAATGTTCACTACGGGTCGGGGATCCTTTCTAGACTTCCTACGCGAGTTAGGGCAAGTTGAATGTCTTCTGCAGTACTGGCTCCCCAGTGAGAAAATTCATCAGCTTTGTTTGAGTTGCATACGTATTTTAGAGTAAGGGTGCACCTCTCCTACGTATTGGTGGTGGTTGTGCCTTTCCACCTTGAGATCTTCTCACTGAAGTTTGCTCTTCTAGTTTATTCAAGTACACACACTGGGGCCCACTGCTGGCCCTGTGCCAGGCACCCGGGATGGGACAGGACCTAGTGCGGGGGAACAGGCTGTTTGCTTTCCCTTTGAGTCCTTGCTCCATTTGGGTGTTCTGTATCAAAGTGCTTAAGTAGTTGGTTAAGCCTTAAGATGATACTGCTTGGAGTTCACCTTTATTCCTTATTACGACAGCAAGCAGAAATAACTGTCTACTTCCAGTCGTGTACTGCTGTTTGGCTTAAAGCTTTTTTTGCAGTATTTTCAGAAGTTTTTAAAATTCGTTTTTAAGTTACTTTTAAAAAAATAATTATATGTCATATAGTACATAGTTTAAGAGATAACAGAAAGTTGAAGTAAAATATTTATATTAAATGTCTCACCAAGACTTTCTACAGCCTTAAACTGCCCTAAATCCCAGTTTTAGTTCATATTTTTAAAGTTTTGGTTAAAGTGAAGTAGCAATTCATGTTTACAGCTCATTTTGTAATGCAGTATGTGCTTCACTTTAATGAGTTTTCACTGTTTCCAGACAGGAGATCTTGCCTTCCTACATAAACAGTGTATCACGTGCAAGGCCTATTCTGGGCTCCAGGGAGGGAGCAGTAAATTGAAAGACCCACATGAAACAGTATCATTTAAAATGTTGTGGGCTCCAGGGACAGAACAGTAAATTGAAAGACCCACATGAAACAATATCATTTAAAGTGTTGTGAAAGGATGGTTTTAGGCCAGGCATGGTGGCACAGGCCTGTAATCTCAGAATTTGGGAGGCTGAGGCAGGAGGATCACTGAGAGTTTGAGGCCAGCCTGGCCTACGTAAGCAAGTTGATGGTGATCTGAATTGCATAGCGAGATCCCGTCTCAATCCCCTGGAAAAAACAGTTTTTAGCATAAAAGTTGAAATAATTGAACAGGAGACTATTATTTAAATGTTACTGACTTGATTTTTAGTGATTTTCTTTATTTTTTTGAGAGAGGGTCTTTCTATAGTTCACACTGGCCCTGAACTCATTATGTAACCCAGACTGGCATTGAGCTTGTGTCAGTCCTTTTGCCTCAGTCTCCCGAGTGCTCGGATTATGGGCCTTTACCACCACGCCTAGCTTTAGTGATTTTCTTAAGCTTCACATTCCTCTAAGAAGTATTTTTGCTGCCATATATGCCACATTATGTTAGCAATTGTTGGTATTTGTGTGAATATTGTTTTGTTCAAAACATTAGTATCATTACTTATCCTTTGTCAGTGTAACCTTTGCTCTCATATTCTTGATTCAGTGTGTTTGTGATTCACCTGGTTTTTTTTGTTGTTTTTAAGCAGATGATGGTGGTGCTACCCCAGTACAGGATGAGCGGGATTCAGGGTCAGACGGTGAGGATGACATAAATGAGCAGCATTCCGGATCTGACACTGGAAGTGTAGAACGGCATTCAGAGGTATTGGCTAACAAGCAGCATCTTTGGGGAAGCTATTCCCTTCCATCTGTATGAGGCCTCTTTTATTTAGGGGTTGTAGAGTCCCTGTCACAGGGTCTACATTCTAATCCTTAAATAAAGGAGATAGTAATAGTAATAAAAAACTGCTTTTAAGGTAAACAGGATGGTCTGGTTACTGATGAAATCACAGGTAAGTAAGTTCTGAGTGGGTAGAATTTCAAGTACTAGGCAGTTTTTAACCATACATATCTATTTTGAAAATAAGCCAGGCCTCTCATATTTGACTAGGTTTCCCCATTCCAAATAATGTCTGATAAGGGGGCTGTGAGCATTTGCAATATGAAGAAAAGTTGAAAGTTATCTCTCAAACTTTGTATCAGGAGTTAGCCTTCTTGGGCTGGGAATATAGGTCAGCATCACAGCACCCACCTGGCAAGCATGAGGTCATGAGTTTGATTCCCGATACCCGAAGCATATTCCAAAGAAAAGAGTTAGCAAAGAGTTAGCCTTCTTGTTTGAACTGTTATAGTACATGTAATAAGTATAGTTTGAAAAATTGCTTTTGTTTATTACTACAGAGTAGATCTTATACATTTTAATATATTTGGCCTAATATATCAGTGTTTTTAAAACTAATTTACCTCTCTGATTATACAGCTTCTCCTGCACAGTGTTAACAAAATAAAATTGGTCATTTTTCAGTAAGTCAAAATAATTTTTTTTAGTAGACACAAACTGAAGCAAATACGAATGATAAAGATGGACAGATTTTCTAAGAACATATGTATCATATTTTGTATGATTACACACACATACAAAGTTGTTCAATTTTATGTCATAGGTAGAATTCACTTGTGTCATTTTTATGTTTTTACATTTGTATTACTAGGTATGTATGTGTTCATCCTGTACTTACTGAGCACTTACTATGCATGGTGCTCTTTTGGTGCCTGGGACATATAGGTAACTAAAAGTCAAAATCTTTCTCTTGGATTTATTTCTAGTGGGAGGAGAAAGACATTAAGACAGTATACATATTTTAAAAAGTTGTATAGTTTATTAGAAGGTGACAAATGCTTTCCTGAAAGAAGAAAGTTAAATGGCTGGGATGTATCTCAGTGGTGTAGTGTCTTGGTTACTTTTCTCTCGTTGCTGAGACAAAGTACCCAACACCCAAAATTAAGGAAGGATAGGTTTATTCAGCTTACAGTTTGTGGAGGTTTCAGTCCATACTTGCCTGGCTCCAAAGCAGAGTGACACATGGCAGAGGGCAACAGTTCCTGAAGGCAGAACAGCAAAGCAACAAGAGCAAAAGGGAGGAGTGGCAGAGAAAACAAGTCTCTTTTCCTCCCTTATATTGTAAGCAGGCTGCCTCCACCCAGGGGCATGTAACACTCACATCATGTCCATGTGCTCTAACCCTAACCCTCCTCTTGCACAGGCTCAGGATGAATACAAAGTAAGCACCCTGGCTCCCTGCTAAATCACATAGTTAACCTTCTAAACTTCTCAAATTGATACAGTGTACAACATGCCAGAAGGGTAAGGGCCTGTCCTTTTTACTCCAACATGCAGAACTGCTGAGTGGCTTAGCCAAGCCTCCAGACTCCCCAAGCTGACACAATGTATCAACCATAACATACAGCCACCTGTCTAGCATGTGGGAGGCCCTGGTTTCAATCTCCAGCGCTGCCTCTGAAAAGAGCATGAAGGTTGTCAGGTACCAGGGTGAAAGGGTGGTTTCACTTTTGAACAAGCAAGCCTTCATAGGCGTATTAAGAGTGTGGCATTGGAGCCAAGGTAGGAAGGGGAAGGAGGGAATAGCTTTATGGAAAGTGTCTGTGGGGAAGCATTTTCCAATTAAGAGCCCCAAAGTGGGAGTGTGCTTGAGGTCTTTGAGGGCACTCAAAGGTGTTAGTCAGCCTTTCATCACTGACCAAATGATGGAGAAAAACAACTTGAAGGAGAAAAGGTTTTGCCTCACAGTTTCAGAGGTTTCAGTCCACGGCCGTGTCAGCTCCATTGCTTTTAGGCCTGTGATGATGCAGAAACATCACGGTGGAGGAAAGCCGCTCACCTCCTGGCAACCAAGGAGAGAGAGGGACGAAATCAGAAAGGGCCATGGACCAGGTAGAGTCCCCAGGGTCACACACCCAGGATTCTGTCCCTACAAGTAGTCCCAGGGGTTTCTGTCAGCTCCTAGTTAAGCCATTCATTTGTGAGCTCATCAAGGGATTAACCCTCTGATGGAATGGGAGTCCTCAGGATCCACCCTGAGTTTGTGGAAGCCCCACCTCTGAACATGTGAGTCTTTGGGAGCATGTTTTAGTCCCAAATCACAGCAAGCACCAAGGAGTCATCATGGCTAGAGTGGAGTCAGTGGGGAATCGAGAGGGTTGGAGAGTGAAACGCAGGTGCCAGAATGGCTCATCCTGAGGCCATTTTGGTGTCGCTTACTTTTTTATAGGCGCTTAGATATTTAGGCTAAATTCTAATTATTAGTGATAGTTATTTGATAATGTAAATGTTATTATGTACATTGGGCATGTAATAGTTTGCATGTTGGAAGCAGTGTTAAATTGATCATTAACAGTTCATGGTTTCTAACCTTAGTTATACATAAATGTAATGTAGTTCATCTTTAAGCAACTGCTTTTTATAGTAATAATGGATTCTAAGTGAATGTTCATATTGTTGAAAAGCTGAAAATTAATATAAAAATGTAAAGAAGAAAGTTAAAATCAACATACTATTACCACAGAAATGACTGTTAAC